TGTTTTCATCTGTCACGTGTTTCTTAACGTGTTTTCTTTGTTTATTCTTCATTACGTGTTGTGTATCTTGTGTGACAATAACTGATCTGCATTACGGGGTCAAGGCCAATTCCCAAACGACTTGCAAAGGGCAAAATTATCGATGATTTTTCTAGTTTTTTTACTGTATCTTTGCTGCTTCTGCTTTTTTTTCCTCAAGTCTCTTAAGAGACTGAGTATTATTTTTAGTCTTCTTGCTTTTTTCTTAGAGCTGCAAGTCCTGTTTTCTATAGCCGTTTGTGTGTTTCTGTCGTTTTTGTTGTCGTTTTGTTTTTGTATTTTTGTGTACAGAGGATCAGCGGGGAGAGTTGTTGTCTGTATGAATTCAAAGTAATTTTTAAAATTACTGTTTAAATTTAAAATAATATTAAATAATATTTAAATTTATAGGGTTTGGGCTCTGTAGCTTATTGGTTAAGCTTTCAAACCTTCACAGACAAGGTCAACAGTTCAAGTCAGGCTGGTGGCAAATTTTTGAATTTGCTACTGTAACCTATATATGGCCATAATTAAATACAAAGCTTTGTGGAAAGTCCAAGTACAAATACAATTCTGAAATAAAAATACCCGAAAGGAGATCTAATTATAGAGTGTAGACATTATGTGTGACAGTGGCATTACAGAAAATTCAGTAGAAACGATTGCATATATAAGTTCTCAAAGGCACAGACAGCACCAACATCCATTCTTCACCATTTAAGGCAATTGAACTGTTATTAAATTCATGCTATTTAACTCTTTTCTGATTGAATTCCTAACTTTTTACATAGCCATTTTTATTGAAACATTCAATGAGATATAAAAGAAGATAAAAGAAGGTAAGTTGAATGTAGACTTTTATACCATCATTGTTCTTTATCCATCAATTTACTTATTCATTTATTAACACTTCTATCAAACTATGTGCTTTTTCTTTTTATATCTTGCCCGACAAGGTAATATTATCTTGACAGTTATCAACCAAATCAAATAAGTATCATTTTTTTAATGGATCATTAATGAGGCTTAGCTTTTATAAGATTAATATTTTAATGCTTCATTATAGAGAACCTGGCTAAACAGGTTTGCTTGCATATAATCATTATGGTGAAATTGTGGGTTCTGGAACATCATAGTATAATGGCTTTTGTGTAATGATTAGTACATCCAACATGATTGTTCTGTGTGATTCTTAAATTCTGTGAACACGTGGTTTTGCCAATAACAATGTAAACATCATATAATTTGACCAATCAGAATTAGAAATTTTTGTACTATTTAAGAAAAACATATTATGGCCTAGGAAAATTTAATTATATGTGAAGTTGATTTTTTTAAAGCAATGCATATTGCGTCACTTCAATATTATAAATGAAATGTTTAAATTACATATTATATGAATTTTAGATAAATTGGTTAAGATATTAAGAAGTTTTATTAGAAGCATTTTTTTATTTACTATATAAAAATCTAATATACCATGTATATCATATCTAAATACACCCTACCCTTAACCATTATTGTTATTTGTCTTAATAAAACAAATAGCAAAGTTAATGTTATATATAGAATATATATTGGATCTAAAATTTAATTATATTAAATGTAGTACAATATTGTCATTATATATTGAAATTGCAATATTATGATCTTGCAATATTATGGGTTTACGATATTATTATATTGCGATATTATGACAATGCGGCACCTCTTGAATGTATGCCAGGGTTGTGGCGCAGATTTATTGAATTCCGAATCAGATTTCAAGATCAGGTGCAACATAACACGATCAAAAAAATTCAATGTTCATTTCGCTTACTTATCGAAATTCTACATAAGAAACCGCTTTGGGTATTCTAACAAAAGTTTTCGTTGGGCAATTTTACTATATAAACTACCCTTCCCTAGCCCATAACACTAACATGAACGAACTTTAAAGAATTTATGCTGCTCCATAAACCTGGCACACATTCAAGTAATGCGACAATGCGATATTATGACATCGCGAAATTATGATATTGCAATATTATGATATTGCGATATTATGATATTGCGATATTATGATATCATGACATTTTTATAATTTACAACAATTTATCATTTTTAAATATAAAATGTCGTAATCAGTTGCAACCCTAATTACGCTATATTAATATCGCAATCAGTATTTTTTCGTTATTAAAACTAGTTAAAACCGGTTTAACATAAGAAAAATAAAACTGTTACGTATCATGTGCACTATAATCTTACGTACATACGTAGTGGTGTAACCATTATATATAATTCATTTGAAAATTGACTAGTTGTAAATCAAAAATAGACTGTACCAAATTATTCCATAATATTATCTCTCATTTATCTTAATATACAAAATTTTTTTCATAAAATAACTAATCTAATTATGGACTGTATGTTTTTATATATCATTATAATCAGTATAATTAGATTATCGTAATCTTGAAAAAATGGGTCTTATACCGTATTCTACCATAATTAAATAACATCCTCCCTATCTCATTTTGTTTTAAATGTCAGATTAGCGAGAATAACTTGGCTAAGGATCTTAATACGATTTCCACTAATCTGACATTTAGAACAAATGGGTTAGAGGATGGTACTTATTTACGACGGTAGAATACAGTAACTATGATTGCATTACAATGTTAACGTTTTCTGTGTTATATTTATACTCATAAATTGCAGACCAGGCTATTGCAAATAAGATGCCAGATTTTGGCTATGAAATTGTTGATTTCCAATATAATACGTGGCAAATCACAAGCTGGACAAGCTTGGAAAAGAGGATAACAGGTCCTGAATTTGAAGCTGGAGGTTGGAAATGGTAGGTTCACTTAAATATATGATTTGATTGTAATTTCATGTTCTAATTATTATACTTAAAATTTAGGCGCATTTTGCTTTTTCCTTCAGGAAACTATAATTCGAAGGTTGTGTCAATTTATTTGGATTTTGCTGTTCCACAAGGTGTACCTGCCGGTTGGCATTGCTGTGCGCAATTTGCTTTGGCATTATGGAATCCAGAAGATCCAACATCCTATGTTTTTCATTGTACGTATGTATTAAATTGTTTATCATTTGTAGTCAAAATGTTACTAATATTCTAATTCTTAATTATAGGTTCGCATCATCGTTTCACTGCCGAAGAGTCAGATTGGGGATTTACGCGCTTTTACAATTTAAATAAACTGTTTATCCCATCAGATAATCATACTCGCCCACTGATAGAAAATGATGCCTGTAATATTACCGCCTTCATTCGCATTATAAAGGACCCAACTGGTTTCTTATGGCATAACTGTATAAAGTATCCTATCTTCTTTAAAATTATATTATGAGTTTATATCTACTTTTTCATGCAAACTTTTTTTTATAGTTACGATTCAAAAAAAGTGACAGGATATGTTGGCCTAATAACCTGGAAAGACAAAAATTGTGAAGCAACGGATTATAAGGGATCAACAAGTTATTTAAATGCCGAGTTGCAATTATTATATAGCATAAAATATTTTCGTAAGGTTAGCGCTTCTACTTGATCTAAAAAATGAACCTTTTTACATCAAATCCAATAGTTTCCTTTTTTTTGATTATAGGCAATATATCAAATCCCCACAAAAGATGATGAACCAGTCAGAAGTATTCCTTTAGCCATGCAAAAGGTCTTTTATCAATTACAAGAATCTGATCGTCCAATTGGAACGAATGAATTAATGAAATCTTTTGGGTGGAGTTCATCAGATTTTTGCATAACGCATGATGTACAGGAGTTTAATAGAGCATTGCTAGATAATTTAGAGGATAAAATGAAGGTAGGCTTATGATTTATTAAATTGAACAATATTAAATTTTAACTTTATAAATTTACCAACACTTCTATCTGTATTTAAGAATACAAGTGCAGATGGTGCTATTTCTAAACTTTTTGCAGGAAAGATGAAGAGTTATGTTAGATGTGTCAACATAAATTATGAGAGTTCACGTATTGAAGATTACTATGGTATATCGTAGTAAATATATATATACTATAAATTTTAACATTAAGTAACATTAATTTTATTACGATAGATATTCAACTTAATGTTAAAGGGTGCAAAACTCTAAATGATTCTTTCCTAGAATATATTCGTGAAGAGAAATATGGGTTGCAGGTGAGTTATATTTTGGCCATAATGTTTGCTGAAAGTTACATTAAATGCAAAGGTTTTGACTCTAATTGTCTATAGGATGCAAAGAAAGGTGTAATTTTTGAAAGTTTTCCTCCAGTACTACGAATACAATTAAAACGGTTTGAATATGATATGCAAAGAGATGCTACAGTTAAGGTATTTGTTAAGATCCCTAGTCTTTTATTTAGTAATTTGCTGATTGAAAAACTATATAATACATTAATACAGATAAACGACCGCCTTGAATATCCTATGAAGATTAATTTACAAAGCTTTTTATCAACAGATAGCGATAAGTCAAAACCTCATAATTATTTACTTCATGGGTTTGTAAATGTGAATTCAATATTTTCAATGTATATGATTTTTAACACATTAATAACTTTTT